GTTGTCTTTACAGTGATTAATAACTCCTGAGTATTGTTATGCTAAATGTTATTGATATAAAAATGAGTCAAGAACAAATCTCATGTGAGCTTTAGAAAATAATAGATAATTTAGACTTCATAAATAGCATAGTACTAAAGAGTGATAACGAAGAGTTGGCAATGAATTAGTCATTGTTCTGCCTCTCTATATATGCACACCTTATATGTGGAGAGCCCGTGTACTTATGCATATGTACCCCTGAGATATCCTTCTACAGAAGTATGTTTGTTACTTCTGTCTTCCCGGAAACATCTGAAGACTTGCTTGTACCATTTTTTCTCTGTCTTTTTCCTTAGTGTATGTTGATAAATATTTGCCCTGACTCCAACGTTAGTATATTGATCAGTAACTATAATGACACTTCTGTTTCTCTCCAGGTGTGATATGCTGTTCTTTACATTTTGGGTTCATTGGAAATTGTGTCTTTCATTTCTGAATTCATGAATGAATATGTGCATGGAATTGCAACACATTTGATGAGACTCTGTACTTTCATAGGGTGTAGATCATATCCGCAGGAATGAACAGCAAGAGGAACAGATGTGTCTGTCTGTCCCTTGAGATAACCCTTGTATTTCAGGGTTAGAATTTTACTGGCCAGTTGAATAGTTAGTCCACCACTTAGCTAGCATTATGTTTGCTCACTACGAGCACTGCCATTACAGACTTTCCAAAACCATGATGGGAATACCTCAGTTCTCTGGGCTTTCATAGCACTCATTATCTCTATAGTTGATACTTCATCATCTACTGCTTCAAATGATATAGTAGAGGATGAACTCTTTCTTATATATTCTGTGTATCCAATAAGACCATAAACAACTTAAATCAAAACCATTACTGGTGTTTATATGTACACGGAAGAGTATTACAGTGCCCAACTTGATGTTTGCTTTAGAATAATTATGTACGAAATGAGTGAAGAGATGAACGCCTACAGTTTTTAACACTCTAACCCATAGTATGGTTTTATAGCCTCTTTTGACAAATGGCACACTTGTTTATTTTATTAGACACTACGTTAAAAACAAAAAGTGTAATTTATCTTCTGATTCAATCAATTGTATGGTGGTTGAGTAACATGCTCCATGAGATTAGGAACATGATCTATTTTGGTCTTTGCTACATACCTAGTACCTGACAGTGCATAGTACAAGAGAAGTGTCTTATGAATATATATTGGGTTAATGAATAATGTGTCAGGTAAGGATACTTTCCAGTTCTCCCTCCAGTAAGAGAGCATGTAAGATTATGAGTTTGATTTAGATAACATTTTATTTGATACCTAGAAGCTTATTTATGTTGCCAAATCCTGGCAATTTCTGATATTTTGAAGAAGTACACATTGACCATGCACTGGTTATAATTACTGATTGCAAATTCTTTTTTCCTTGGACAACAAAAGTTTCTAGTTAAATGAAATGGATAAAACAAGAGGATCATAGGAGAAGGGAGGGAAAAATAAAATAAGATGAAATCAGAGAGGGAGATAAACTGTAAGAGACTCTCAACTATCGGAAACAAACTGAGGGCTGCTGGAGGGGAGATAGGTTGGGGATGGGGTAACTGGGTGATGGGGATTAGGGAAGGCATGTGATATAAGGAGGCCTGGGTGCTATATGCACTGAAATCTATCTCTGAAACTAATAATACACTACATGTTAATTAATTGAATTAAAATAAAATAAAATATAAAAAAAACTTTAAAGCTATTTTTGGAACTCCTTAATCCATTTATTTTACTAACACTCAAATAAGGATGTGTGTGTGTATGTATGTGTGTGTGTGTGTGTATAACTTTAGTTTGGAATCTAAGACTGTAAGTAGGCAAACTACTTCAAAGAATACTTTTTAAAAAAGATTTTATTTATTTATTTGAGAGAGTGAATGAGGGAAAGCACAGAGGGAGAATGAGAGAGAGAAGCAGACCCCTCGATGAGCAGGGAGCCTTAAGTGGGACTCTATCCCAGGACCCTGGAATCATGACCTGAGCTGAAGACAGATGCTTAACTAACTGAGCCACTCAAGCACCCTTCAAAAAATACTTTTAACGGGGTGCCTGGGTGGCTCAGTGGGTTAAAGCCTCTGCCTTTGGCTCAGGTCATGATCCCATGGTCCTGGGATCGAGCCCCACATCGGGCTCTCTGCTCAGTGGGGAGCCTGCTTCCTCTTCTCTCTCTCTGCCTGCCTCTCTGCCTACTTGTGATCTCTGTCTGTCAAATAAATAAATAAAATCTTTAAAAAAATACTTTTAACAATTTTTTAAATAAATTTGACATAGAGGTAAATATTTTCAGCTTTTAGATCCTTTTTATCACCTTTTAAATCAAGAATATGGTATTGCACACTTGCTGGCTAATACTACCTTGTAAATACTGGCTTTCCTTTAGCACAGAATGTATATAGTCTTTTTCTCTATTTCTGGAAATAGAGTGATTTTAATTTATTACTCTCCAGCTGTTCTCTCTTAAATATCACATTGGTATTAAGGCCATTTCTCGTAAGATTTTGCTTTAACATTTTCTTTCTTCCTTCTTCTTTTTTTTTTTTTTTTTTAAATCCCTTTAAGACCATAGTGGAAATTGGGGAATTAGTGGGAGGATCTTGGAAATTTTCAGAGTTCACCTAAAGTGAGATTCAAAAATCCCTAAAATGTAATCATAGCCTTTGATATCATGGGAAATGTTAAAAAGTTAAGAAAATGACTATATAACTAGGTTTATTATTATACATTCCTAAAACTTAGTGAGCCTGTCTTTATCTTTTAAAAGACTTCCAAATTGTGATTCCATAATGCTAGATTAGCCCAAATGGCACTTTATTTTAAATTTTCTGTATTTACACAGACTTGGTTCCAAATATCCATCATTCCCAGTTCAGCTAAAAAAATGACTTTCTTGGGAATTGATTTTTTTTTTCATTTTATTATTGGTACTTTATTAAAGACAAAAAGGAGATGTGATATTTTAAAGATAGAAATGAACTTGTTCTTTCATATAAAATTCACTCTCATCTCTATAACAAGAGAAGCTAGTTGATTCCTTTATTAACTTTTTAATTTAAAAGACTATCTCTTTTATTAAAGGGCTTAAGGAAAAATCAAAATCGTCGATTTGTGGATTTTGGGCATATAAACTCCACTCATCTGAAAGCTTTGTTATATAATTTTTATCTAGCTGTAATACCATCCAATAGTAAAATATGTGACCGGAGCTGATAAAGATGGGTATGTCTTAGACAAGCCTAGACTAATAAGGAAATATAGGACACTTTTGAGAAATTTTTTATTGCTGCTGAATCTAAAGCAATAATATTGGTAATTAGATTGCATGGCACACGTTTCTTTTCTTTTTTTCTACAGTTAACAAATTTAATATCCAAATGTAAAGACCAATTTTGGGGACAGCTTATTTTAATCTACTATTTTATTGTATTGCATCTGTGAAAGAGAAAGGAAAGTGATTTCAACCTTGCTCAGACAACTGTTTTGAAATGTAATGGGGGCAGCAGGAAACTGGTTCATTTTATGGTTCATGTTACCTGTAATTATACATGAAGAAGCAAAATCATAGCTCCCAACATGTTCACAGAGCAAATCAATGATTGAGCAGAAACTGATAAAACATAAGCCACTTGTTTTAATTGTTAAGTCATTTCTCAGAGACTGATTGGACATAGTACATCTTTATATTACACTTAAGGAACAATATTCATATTTAGTTTGATTGCATTTGGGCTAGATCTACATGCTTAACTAAAAAAAAAATGTTTCTTATATGGTTTTCACTGTGAGTTGAGTGTTTTTGTATGTTTCGTTTTTGGTTTTAGTTTTGGTTTTTCATTCTGATTGTCAAATCTTGGACCTACCTACACAGGAATCCAGTTAGCACAAATTCAAAAACACTTCCCATTCAGTTGCCTTGCCATGGAGGTGTATCTCAGTTCTTACTGACTGTTCCGACTGGGAAAGCTATTTAATTTCAGCTGCCAAGGGTATTTTAATTTCTTTATATTTTTATTATGTAATACATCATATATAAAAGACTAGCTGTGTCACAAAACTTAGACATCTACAGCAGTGAAGTCTTACTGTAGAATTCATGTGTTGTGATCTTACTTTTCTGTATTGAAGAAGTTTACTTAAGATATCTTTTATGTTGGTGATATTTTTAATGAGAAAATACTGACTAGACTCCAATCACATTATGAAATTAAAAAAATAAAAAATTGAATAAGTAGAAAAACATGATTTTTCCAAATATTTTAGCCCATTGTTATTCACTGACAGATAAGTGATGATAAAAAATAAAGACAAGCAGTCCCAGAGAAATTTAATGATTAGAGTGAAAAATTTAAACACAACTAGAACCTTAATTAAGGAATTTGCCATTCATTATTCCCTATGATAAACATCCATCTTTAGTCAATTTAAATTTGAACATACATGCAGGTGGTTCACATCATTGGCCAATTCCAAATGGGTGAAAATGTCTTATGAGTAAGCCTTTTGTATTCTGAGAAATGTACCTTCAAAGATACTAAAAATATAACTAATTACACTGAATTATTATAAATAAAGTTTGGATAAATTATTTAAGTAATGAATTAATTCTGCATGTACTATAAAGATAAAAACTAAAATATTACGGAAAAGTATTCTAGAAAAGAGCTATAGTTAAGAGACCAGTAGTTTTGGAAAGGAAGAATATATAGGGTACTTTTTCCTTTGTGAAGTAAAGTTTTTAACTACAGCTTAATACATTCTATGTAAACTATACATATGTATTGCACATAAGGAGTAATTATTTCAGTTTTTTCCTAATTTTTACAGTACGATGATGTAGACTGGGTATCTGAAGAACAACATCAAACATAATTATACATTAAGAAGCGAAAACATAATTTTAAATAATTCCAACTTTATTTTTGTTATTTGTCCTCATATGTTGATTTTTCAGGTCTGGCTGTGGATCATTTTAGTGAGCGAATATACTGGGCTGACCTTGAGCTTTCTATTATTGGCAGTGTTCTGTATGATGGCTCTGATTCAGTAATCTCTGTCAGTAGCAAACAAGGTTTGTGAAGCACTTTTGTTTCATCTTTTAATTATTATCGAGAGTGTTAAATAATGGTACATAAGTATAAATACAAAAGCTTTACATTCTAAACTTCCTCAAATTCTTTTTCCTTACAACTTGTTGCTCTTACTAGAGATCATAATTTTCATTCCTACTAGAATAACGAGAGGCCAGGCCAGAATTTCCTTAGCATAGGACAATCACGGCCCATTGCTGCCCATTTTCAGAAAATATTCATTCTGTTCCTTCTGTAGATACTACATTCTGAGGTGAACACTTTAAGTAGTCAAGATTAGAGCCTTTGAACACAAGTTTTTACTTCAAATTGCAGTGATAGCAGGCAGAAATGAATTATTGCGTATAATAAAACATCATTATAACAATTGTACGTCCCAATGAAAAGCAGTGTGTAAAATTAACTTACCTCTGCCTTCAGTGAGTACAGAATCTACTTGTGGTCTTCCTCTGTAGTACACTTTTGTATCCCTGCCTCTATGCCTACCTCCTGTTTTTTATTCTCATTCTCAACTGTCTGTGCCGCACACTTGCCTTGCCTGGCAACCTCAGTTCTTTCTGCTGAAACTAATTTCTTTCCCTTCTGTTTTTCTTGCCCCTCCCTACAACAACATCTTCATTTATTTACCACAAATTGTTTATAATATGTACTTGAAGTTTTTATATTTACATATTATATGTACTGAATATAGCTTTGCTTTTCGTTTTTTTTTTTTTAACAGAAGCAGAGGAGTTGAAAAAAAATAAAGTGAACTTTCATTGTGCCTTTGCCCAAAGTGTGTTTTTTGTATGATGACTCTAGATGGCAAAAAAAAAAAAAAAGAAAGAAAGAAAAAAAATTACACATTGCTATAACTGATCACTGTAAAGTTAACCTGTTTCAGCTTCAGCTCACTGAAGAAACATATATTTTTTAAAAAGCACTTTATGTTTTACAACCTCTAGATAACAACTAAACTATAAATGTCATTTTGCATGTTATACATTTCAGTATCAAAGGTTAGATTAATTATTCCTATCATAAAAATCTCTTAAAATAAGTCATTTCTTAAAACGTACAAAATGATAGCCTCTCTTATTGTTAGCCAAACTAGTCATATGCATCATTACCATCTGCTAGTTTGTTTTCTTTAACCCATTTCTAAAACAGACAATGGTAATGTCTTTTTTTCTCTACTTTTGGTCAGTCAGGCCATCTAATTTGTTCATTAATTTGATCTAGAACACAAAATCTGAATTTTGTGAACTGTCTTTCTGTATGCAATGGATAAGGCTGGCCTATAGCTTTTCTTTTGTCTGCAAACTGTACAGCAGATCACTCTGCATACAGTAAACCCCCAGCAAATGCTTTGTGATGGTGCAGATGATTAAAGTGATGATGGAAATGTTTTTCATGTTGTGAGTGATATGTTTAGGATTTCACATATTCCTACTGCAAAGAAATTAATTCTAACAACTTTATAGCTAATATTAAAATATTATAATTCTGAAAGTTTTTTTTTTTAAACGACAGTAGTAAAATTTTCTACAGGATCTTGAATAAACTTGGTTTTAAGTCCGAGCACTTATTTACATTGCAACTTTTATAACTCCACCTTTTAAAAATTCTAGGCTTGCTACATCCACACAGGATTGATGTCTTTGAAGATTATATATATGGAGCAGGACCTAAAAACGGTGTATTTCGAGTACAAAAATTTGGCCATGGTTCAGTAGAATACCTAGCTTTAGATATTGATAAAACAAAAGGTGTTTTGATATCTCATCGCTATAAACAACTAGACTGTAAGTATATTTTTTATTGTTTTTGACAAAAGACAGTATCTTAAAATATTTAACTATTTCAGTATCTTAATCCTTTGAGTTAAGTAACTTTAATGTTGATATTATAAGATTTTTTTAATCACCAAAGTCAAGATGTAAATCATACAAAATTTTATTTTGCATTTGATTGTGTTTCCTTTGCTATAAAAAAAAATGTACCATTCTGTTTTTCAATAAAACCTCTGACTTTATACATTAACCATGCAGGTATTGAAATTCGTCATTAGCCATTTTGACTCTTGTTACTGTTAATAAGGAACAATCATAGCATCAACATTCCATCTTTAAAAGCAACTGAGGAGGGGGTGCCTGGGTGGGTCAGTCGTTAAGCATCTGCCTTTGGCTTGGGTCATGATCCAAGCATCCTGGGATCCAGCCCCAAATCGAGCCCCACATGGAGTCCTACATTGGGCTCCCTGCTCAGTGGGGAAGCCTTCTTCTCCCTCTACTGCTTCCCCTGTTTGTATTCCCTCTCTGTCTCTGTCAAATAATAAATAGACAAAATGTTTAAAAATTAATTAAATAAATAAATGAATAAATAAACACAACTGAGGAATGCTGTTTTCAAGGGTTATATTTTCTCTGATTGTTTATGATTTTTATTGTACTTTCATTCTAGAAAGGAATAAATCATTGATGCAATTATCTTGAAAAACCGGTTTCAAACACAATTATCAAAAATATTGAAGAATAAAGTAAAAAATAATGTGACTGAAATTCTAATGATCTGTCTTTATGTATGAGTTTAAACTTCAAGAAACTTTAAGATTTATTGATACATTTTTGCTGCAAATAAAAAGAAACTTAACCCCATTTGGTGTAATTATATGGAAAGGTAACAATTGATATTTGTCCAAATCAGTTTTGGAAACAGATTAAAACAAAAGATAGTCCCCTAAGAACTTCCTGAAATCCTATCCAAACTTTTGTTGCTCTTTACCAATGATCTGACATTTTTAGTTCCAGGGTTAGTATGAGGACATGGTATCATCCTCTAGTTGTCTTTCATTCTTTTCCTTTTCCTCTTTCTTTCTTTTTTTTTTTTTTAAAGATTTTATTTATTTATTTGACAGAGAGAGAAGGAGAGCACAAGAAGGGAGAGTGGGAGAGGGAGAAGTAGGCTTCCCGCTTCTTCATCGAGCAGGGACCCCAGTGTGGGGCTCTATCCCAGGACCCTGAGATCATGACCTGAATTGAAGGCAGCCGCTTAACTAACTGAGCCACGCAGGTGCCCCTGATTCTTTTTCAGAGTCAAATATTACCACCTTCATAAAAACTACATAAATAAATAAGACTTTGCCCTGGATAGAATAGGTATTTGAGTAATGGTTTTAACTGAGTCAAAGCCATTCTCACAGTCATCATTTCACTAGCTAGGTGTTATTTCTGTTTTTTCTAATGACAGATTCTCTAAGGAGAGCCATAGAACAGTTATGACTGCAGAGGATGCTAATTGGATAGAAATTTAGACAAAAATAAATGTGGCAAACATTTACATGTACACAAACTGCAACCTGATGGAAAAGAAACCATGTTAAACCTGGTATTTTTAGAGAGAAAGAATCCTCTCTCTTGTTTGTGTTTTGAACGAATACAGATGAATTTTAATCCTTTGTAAATACAAGGGGGAAGTTGTTTCTGTCTGTTCAACAGTTCTGAAACTGCCTAAAATGAGGAGTAGGTCCCCCAAACCCTTCAGTTGGCTTTACTTTTTTTTTTTTTTTTTAACATAAACCCAAACTCTACTTGGGTATCTCAGACCAACTCTTTTAGCAAAAATAAGTCAGATGGAAGAATGACAAAATATATGTTTGAATAATTCCTTCTCTCTAGTGGGAAGTGTAAATCAGGGTAAATTACCTGTTAATGATGGGTAATGGATAAGAATTTCTCTTACCTATAAAGGAGAATGGTAATACTGAAATAACATATACCCAGTGGCAATTGTTATGATTTCAACATTGCTAATGTATCCTTTCACCTTGTTGAATTTTATGTTTCTGAAAACTACTGTACTTACAGTCATGCGTTTCTTTGTTTTCTTTGTTTTAATCAGTGCCCAATCCATGCTTGGACTTAGTATGTGAATTCCTGTGTTTGCTGAATCCCTTTGGAGCTACCTGTGTGTGCCCAGAAGGCAAATATTTGATTAATGGTACTTGCAATGATGACAGCCTACTAGGTAGGTAAATGTCATTATTCTGTAAAGAATTAATTTGTATGATAAATTTTCACACCTCTTGAAACTGAACAGAATTAGCTACTCAATCATCAATATAGTAGCCTTGATATCATTGGTTTTTGAATGCCTGCATAAACTACTCTCCCTGGCGATGACTTCCTAGCAATTCATTCTATAGTCACAGAGCTGCACTGAGCACTTACTATTCATTTAAGACTAGATTAAGAACTTTGAAGTCATACACCAAATCAAGATAATTTTATATAGCTCTTTATCAGTGAAAATAACGATATTTCTAAGGACACCATTTCCTTACAAATTTAAACCCAGCCTTAAAATCCCTTATTCATTCATCAAGTTCATGATGAACAACTTTCTTGCACCAAATGCTAATTTAGAAACTGAGGATAAGAAACTAAATTGTACTTCTTCTGCATAAAATTTGATTCACAATACATACTACTACCAACATGAATAAATATTTTGAGGGCTTATGAGAAAAGCATAGCAGTAATTTAGAAACAAAGGACTAATTTAGAAACAAAACTGACAAGATTTCTTTATTCTTAGAGCTTATATTTTAGAAGTACATTAATATTGAAACAAACATTTAAAAAAAGTAAAACAGTATTTCAGATGCTTATTATAAGTATTAAGTAGCAAAAAATCACAAAATAAAATAACAAAAATAAAAAAAATAGTACAAGGAGAAAAGAGAAAAAGGAGACATTTCTCAATTAGCCAGGTAGACTGATGTGAAGTTCCCTCATAATCAAGACACTAACTATAATGGAAAGACAAATTACTATTAAGTGAAAAGAAAATCCACACTTACTAAATTTTATGACACAGACAAAAACACAGTGCTCTAAAATCCCTTGAGGATCACATTTTTTCCAGTGCGATACACTTAGGATCTCTTCATAGCAAGACATCCTACCTGCAGTATTTTTCTCTGTTAGAATGAACACCTCACATGAAGACCATGTCTTTGCCATCATTCAGCATCTCCATCCCCATATGATTTTCTCATTGTTCTCTACTGGGAGTTACAGGTAATCTGAAGACTTTTACCTTCCAAGGCTCTAGGTGTCTAAAACTACCATAGCTCCCTCATTTAATATATATTCTTTAAGCATTGGATATGCAAGGCAGAAGAGGCTGCAAAGATGATACGATGAATGACATAAACTCCAATAGATATTCATGTACATAGTGATACATATGAGAAGAGACAGGGTTAACACCATTAGCAGAATTCAGGCAATCATCCAATTAGAGAATTGATTACAATTTTCTATAGAATATGACCCTAGGACAAGGTCTGCCAAGACAGAGGGGATTCAGATTAAGTGGGAATGAGGGATCAGAACATGAGACAGAGGAACTGAAAAGGCACGAAAGTAACGCATGTAAAGAAAATAGTGAGTCATTTATTTTAGTTAGTCTCTCACACGTCTGAAACAGTATTGTGGTTGACAAGGTTAGAAATTTCTTAACAGAGAGCTAATTGTGAATCATGATTGGTATTTTGGATGAGTTCTTTAGTGCCAGTTCTTGAAAAGGGAGCTGTCACTGGTACTAGACTGCACCCTTCTCTTTATTGATTATCTTTCCTGTGAGAGTGGCTGTGATTTCAGTTGTGATGATCAAATGGGAGAATTAAATGGACATTTTCAAATGTTATTAGGCACATTTTTCACTAGCTGCTCTGACATGCTCATGTAGGTTAGCTATGTGTGGCCGCATATTCTCCTTAGGCTCTCAGAAACAGGTTGTTTAAAATAGCAGTCTTTCCCTGTAGAAGATGTACCACATTTTTATTAGTTCCACACACACTCATAGCCCGTGATCAGTGATCTCCACAGGTGTGCCCCCACCCTGCCCCTATGTACTGTGTCTACTTATACTATTGGTAGTGTGGGAGAGACCCCTGAGGCAGAGATGAAGATTCTGCACAGAAGTTGTCTACTAATGCCACCAATGTGACTTTTCCATTGACTCAGATGTCAGTGATGTTTTTATGGTCAAGTTGCCTACAGTTTTTGTTGTTTTTTCATTACAACTAGACATTAATATCCTTTTTTTCTTCTTTCTTAGTATAAATTATGTATCTAAAACCCAGATGTATTTATCCAATAATCCAGCAAATACACAGAAGTTGGCCTAGGGTGGATCTGAGGCAGAGCTTTGGTGTAGGCCAAGATGTATCAGTTAACTAATGTGTTTGGCCCTGTCATCCCTTAATCTAGTTTCTTTTGCATAAAATTAGATTAACAATAAATATTACTACTACTTGTAATAATAACAAATATTTTGAAGGCTTATGAACAAGGCATAATTTAAGTATATGTATATTATTATATTTAATTCCCTCAAATCCCCAAAGATAGTATGGTCATTGCCCCTGTTTTTACAGATAGAAAATTGAAGCATGGAGAGGCTCAGTTGATGGTCTAACATTGCTTAATAATGGTGGTCCCCCAAGGTGAACCTAGGCATTCTCCACTCTTCACCAGCACATAGTACACCTCAGTGCCTCTATAGCTCCCGAATGACCCATATGCAGAGTCACTGAAAAGACCAGAAATGACATATATAAACTGCCTAGCACAATGCTTTACAAAAAGTAGACACACAGCACTCTAAGATAAATCTATCATTAAGTAAGTAAGAAAATGAAATAGGTTTTTGGTGTATTAATTCATCAAATTTTATAGTTTTATGTTTGGAATGAGAAAGCATGTTTGTCTAAATGTACACTTATCCAAGATCTAAAACTTTTTTTGTTTTAAATTCAATTAGCTAACATATAGTACATCATTAGTTTTTGATATAATGTTCCATGATACATTAGTTGCATATAACTCCTAGTGCACATCACATCATGTGCCCTCCTTAAACTTTGTAGGAAATTTCAGTTTTACTATTTCAGATTTGATTGAAAGGCACAATTACAGAAACCTCCTAAAAGTTCATTTTGTAATTTAAAATTAATCTTATATTTTAAATAATCAGAGTGTTAAAAAATATTCACATTGGCTTCTATGCATATGACCCTTGGTAGCAGACAGTTTAGACCACCTCGGTGAGGAATATAAGTAAGTAGATTTCAGAATTATTGATTGGTGTAGATAAATGCCAGTTAATTTTTTCCTGACATTAACATTTGATATAGCCAAGTTTTTCTGCCCTTTATAATTACTTGCCTTTCTCTAGCTGCTATTGTTAAATGATGAGACACTGAATATTTTTAATCTTCATGGAAGAAATTTGAAATTCAAATGTTACTCATTCTTGGAGAGGTATTCACCTGCTCTTTTCTATAGTTGATTATAATTGCTGGAGCTTGGCTTCTGGGGGTGATTTAGTTATTGACAAATGCAGCCTTCTTTTTCATTATAGAACTATTACAGTTGGGTTTTGAAACTCCACTTCTATTTCATCAAGCAGTGTTATATTTTAAAATTTCTAGAGCCTAATGAGGCACGTTATAGAAATGCACATGTCCTAATATGTAGAGATTTTGAATATCCATGTAGTTTACAGAGAACATTTACAGATGAAAATTGACTCCCCCACAATAATCTTAACTATGATCATAATGCCTTAAATATTTATCTTCTCAGTTTACATTCACAACTCCAGTCAGGGATATTCTATGCTAAATGAATTAGAAATGTTTGGTTGAATTTTAAACCAAGGAAGTGTATATTTCCATTCTAGATCTTTCTTGAGAATTCAACCTCTGTATTCAACTCTTTGCTTTACAAAGAGGCAAGTCTCAGAATTTCTGGTACTGCTCATAAATAGTCTCTATTTATTATAGTGGATGTGATATTTGAGTCATTTTTTTTTTCTATTTGAAGGCACTGAGGGTCTTTAAAGTGCTCTTGTGATTCTTACAGTGATATATTAACACTTCTGCTATGTGTGGACCAATGGATCTTGAACAAAGAATACAGGCTGTTTTGATTTTACCTTACTTTGCTATAAAAGAGGCGTGGCTTTAGTAGAAGGCATATTCTAGAACAGAATGCTTCTCAGAGTACTCTCAATCATTTGTGTTCTATTGGGCATCACATCCTCCCCTAAGTAAAGCAGTATTTCTAATGGAGTAAGACTGTGTTAATGGTAACCTGAAAAAATTATTCCAAACTAATTCTTATCATAAATAAGACTCATCATATTTTTAAAAATAATTTTGTAACCCCAAGGAATGACCATCTTTTTCTTATCCTCAGCCACAATATATTAAGTAGACAGATGGTACCTAGTCATTTTCCATATGGAAATTTTACATATGGAAAATTTCTGACACTATTTTATCAATATCTTGTACCAAACCTATGTGACTTTTAGTTTTGAGTTGTTTATACATAGTTAATAAGGATGTATATCAAAGAATGTATTTTCATTTAAATATTTTTCTATACTATAAATTATATGTGTTATATGTGTGTATATATATATCTATAGATATATATCTAGTATATATCCATATTCATTAAATATTACATATCTAATATGTATACTATATATATACTTTATATGTATATATCCTACACACTATAAATTTATCTTATGTATTTCAGTTTGGTTTAATATCAAACAGTCCTAAAAATAGGCCATATTTGCTTATATCATAAAGAAAATGTATTGATTGGAAAATATTTCATTTTTAGGAAGTTTCAGTTGGTTTTGTTATGTAATGTTTTAATAAACACAAGAAATGGTTAATAACTCTTTAAGCCTAAGGAAGAATAAAAATTAAGTCAGTATTTGTATTCACCATTTAACAGTGGTTAAAATCTATTTCTCTATTTTCAGATAGTACTTATAGTATTTTGCTTCTTCTACTTTTATATTAGAGGTATTTATTTGGGGAATTTTATAAAAAATTTGAATATTTAATTTTTATATATGTGAGTTCTTATTCTACCATCTAATGAAAAGCATGCTAATTTGTACATTCCTTCTTATAACCAGATGATTCATGCAAATTGACTTGTGAAAATGGAGGAAGATGCATTTTAAATGAGAAGGGTGACTTGAGGTGTCACTGTTGGCCTAGTTACTCAGGAGACAGATGTGAAGTCAATCACTGTAGCAACTACTGCCAAAATGGAGGAACCTGTATACCCTCAGCTCTGGGTAAATATTTGAATTTCATTGTGCATTCAAATAATTTGCCTTTTTCCTTACATGTGAAAATGTAAAGAGGATACTTAATGTTAGAAATTTAATTCATGGTGTCTTTATAAAAATAGATTAACACAAATTACATTTAGTTATTAATTCAACATAATAGTATTTGTTCTAAATTTGGTATATTGAAGTTCAAGTCACAAAATGTAACAATAGTAATGCTCATTATGGTGAGATAAGTGTGCACCATGTAACAGGGGTCAGTGCTTACAGGTATCCTGATGCTGGCTTAGAATGATTAAGTAAAGGGGCACCTGGGTGACTCAGTGGGTTAAGCCTCTGCCCTCAGCTCAGGTCATGGTCTCAGGGGCCTGGGATAGAGGCCCATGTCGGGCTCACTGCTCAGCAGGGAGCCTGCTTCCCCTTCTCTTTTTGCCTGCCTCTCTGCCTACTTGTGATCTCTGTCTGTCAAGTAAATAAATAAAATCTTAAAAAAAAAGAACGATTAAGTAAAATCAGTTCTATAAGCTTTATATGTTTGATTCCAAAATCTTTCTTTTTTTTATTTTTTAAATTTTATTTTGACACTTCAGGGTAAAGCGTTTTAAAAAATATTTATCTAAATTTCAGTTAGTTAACATTCAGGTGTACAATATAGCGATTCAGCACCTCCATATAACACCCAGTGCTTATCACAAGTGCTCTCCTTAATCCCCATCATTAACCAATTAACCATTAACCAATCATTCCCTGCCTACCTCCAGGCTGGTGACTATCAGTTTGTTCTCTATAGTTAAGAGTCTGTTTCTTGGCTTGCCTCTTTCTCTCTCCTTTTTCCCCTTTTTCTCATTTGTTTTGTTTTTTCAATTCCACAAATAGAATCATATGGTGTATGTTTTGACTGACTTATTTTGCTTAGTGAAATACTCTCTGGCTCCATCCAAGCTGTAGCAAATGACAAGATTTTGTTCTTTTCTATAGCTTAGTTTTATTCTACTGTATTTATATACCACTATTTCTTTGATCTGGGCTATTTCCACAATTTGTTCTTTTGTTTTTTTTTTTAAGATTTTATTTATTTATTTGACAGAGAGAGATCACAAGTAGGCAGAGAGGCAGGCAGAGAGAAAGGGAGGAAGCAGGCTCTCTGCTGAGCAGTGAGCCCAACATGGGCCTCTATCCCAGGCCCCTGAGACCATGACCTGATCCGAAGGCAGAGGCTTAACCCATTGAGCCCCCCAGGCGCCCCTGTAATTTGGTTCTTAATAGATAATGCTGCTATAACATTGGGGTGCATCTGTCCCTTTAAATTAGTATTTTGTATTCTTCGGGTAAATACCTCATAGTCCAACTGCTGGATCATAGGGTAGTTCTATTTTTAACTTTCTGAGGAATCTCCATACCGTTTTCTAGAGTGGCTGCACCAGTTTGCACTCCCGACAGTGCAGGAGGGTTCCCTTTTCTCCACATCCTCAACAACACCTGCTGTTTCTTATGTGGTTGATTTTAGCCATTCTGACAGGTGTGAGGTGATATTGTAGTTTTGATTTGCATTTTTCTGATGATCAGTGATGTTGAGCATATTCTTATGTGTCTGTTGGCCATCTGTATATCTTCTTTGGAAACGTCTATCCACGTCTTCACATTTTTAAATTATTTGAATTATTATTTTTTGGATGTTGAGTTTTATAAGTTCTTTATATAGTTTGGATACTAACTCTTTCTCAGATATGTCATTTGCAAATATCTTCTCCCATTCCGTAGGTTTACTTTTAGTTTTGTTGATTGTTTCCTTCACTGTGCAGAAGCTTTTAATTTTGATAAACTCCCAACAGTTTATTTTTGCCTTTGTTTCCCCTGTCTCAGGAGACATATCTAGAAAGAAGTTGCTTTGGTCAGTGTCAAATAGGTTATTGTGTATGTTCCCCTCTAGGATTTTTATGGATTCCTGTCTCACATTTAGGTCTTTAATCCATTTTGAATTTATTTTTGTGTATGGTATAAGAAAGTGGTCCAGTTTCATTCCTTTGTATGTTCCTTTTTAACTGAACAGTTAGCCTAATGCTAAACCTCATTTTCTATTGAAAATTAAATTAAATTAGGTTAAATTTAAAATTTAAGTTAAATATAAATACACTCTATCAGTACGTCTGATAGCATCATAATTCATATCTAAAATCATAACTACTTTATTGGCATTGTAATCTAGTGTATAATATGCTTTGAAAATATCAGGTTAGTACATGTTAAGGTATACTTGAAATTCTTATTAATTTATGCAATAGCTCTGTTTGCAAAAAGTGTTTTTTTGCAAACAGTACATAAGTGAACATTAAAATATATTTTTCTACTTAGTGCTATTATATTTAAAATGTGTTCCCACGGGAAAAATTAACCCCAGTGCATAATAAAAATATAATTTGTAAATTCCAAAACTCAGTGCAAAGGACACTGAGCAACTATTAAAATGAAATTTATGCAGATTTAATTCTACTACAATAAATGCAAATTTAGTCAAATGGAAAATTAATACATATGATCTTCACATCCCCTACACTGTTAATTTCTGTCTTACTGGGAGTTTTCACTGCTTCTATTGCTTATGCTATTCTTTGAAGTGTTTAGCATAATGCTAACTGAAAGAACCACATGAGGAAGTATTTTCAATGGAGTTTAGAGGAACCAAACTGTTTCTGATTTGCATTCTAATAGTAAAAGCATTACTCTTTCTTTAAATTTGATAATTTTATGTCTATAGATATTTTTGACTTATGATTAATTGATAATTAAGGTGTTCTAGATACTTAATATAATTCTGAAAACATATGCAGCAACTTGACTGAAATAAAAAGGCATTAGGTCTTACTACATATTTTCATTCTAAGAGAAGCTACTCCTTACAGTAGAGTATATTCTATTGCTGTGAGAGAAATTGCAGTACTGGGACCATGCAAGTGAAAACTGAATGGATGTGTGGTAAAAGGATACAACCTGTAATTGTATTTTAGCAACACAGATACCATTTCCTTTAGGAGAGAAGTTTTCCTTGCACAAATGAGTTGTTTAAAGATTTTATTATTTGATTGTTGATTTTCTCATTAAAATAATAAAATTTTGGGGATTACAACCAGGTAATTTTCTTTTATTTGCCTTCAGAAATATTTAAATGGAAAAAGTTTGGTACTCCAAACCATGAATATCTATTCAACCTGCAATGGATCCACAAGGACAAATCTCTATGAAACATTGAATTTGCTGTCCTGTTAATGGATCCTGAACTATATGTGGATACAGCACAACTTCTAATGTTTTGTTCAAATCATTTGTCCAGATCTTGCTGTATCCTTAAAATCTATAATATATCAATTTTATCTTTGCACCCAGATAATTAGATCTTGATTTACATAGATAACATGTTCAGAAAAGATATATATATATTTCAAATCAGTAATAGAAATGAGTCCTTATATGAATCTAACTTGCTATGTGGCCATGTAGTTTATTGTCGTAGAGCATCTAATTATTAATAATAATACCCTATCCAATTAAATCATATACAAAGCATTTTTTACTTTTAAAAATATGGTTTTATAAAAATATTGTTTGGTATTATAGACTGTAAAACCTCATTATCTCCACACAAATGTTAATTTGTTAAACAAATCCCCATGGGCAATTCATGGATTTATTCATTTTTGGTTTACTTATGGGTAAGCCTTTTGGCAAATTCCTATGTGGACACTATAGGACTAGGGTTTGGGGCAGCCTTAATTAAAATTTATAAGTTTATGACAGTTGTATAGAACTGTAATAACTGAACAAAGGAAATGTCACCAGTTAATTAAAAGCACACATCTGAGAGGCATAATTAAAAAATTGAGTGTTTCTTCATTCCTTAAGTTTTTTTTTTTTATAATAGAGAAAGCTAAAAATAAAATATATGAACTATATTCATATAGGAAACTACTGCAAAATGAAAGTTTGACATTGATTATATCGACAAGTGTACATGTACTTCATTTCTATGACCTGCTCATAGGAGGATATTAAGATAAAGTTTGCTTGGGCAAAATAATGGAAATGAGAGTAAAGCACTGAATTACTCTATCATTCTATTATAGAAAATAGAGAATAATTGAGTTTTTTCTCATCATGATTATAATGAGGATATTTATGTGATTAACTATATATATTTACAATTAATCTTAACTTTTATAAATATTTATTCTCCAAAGTACGTTGATACTGTTTGGTCTTTTCCTTACACTTAGAGTTCTGTTATTTAGACTTTTAATGTTCATATCAAAATGAAACAAGGTTTTCTTTTTTTTTTTTTTTAAGATTTTATTTATTTATTTGACAGAGAGAGACACAACAAGAGAGGGAACACAAGCATGGGGAGTGGGAGAGGGAGAAGCAGGCTTCCCGTAGAGCAGAGAACATGATGTGGGTTCTATCCCAGGACCCTGGAATCATGACCTGAGCCAAAGGCAGGTGCTTAATGACTGAGCCACGAGCTACCCAGGTGCCCCAAAATAAGGTTTTCTACACAGCTGATTTAGAGTAATAGAGCGAGAGAGTTTATAAATTTGGGACAATATACCCAAATACTCTCACGCATAAAGTTTGGAGTTATGCAGAAGGGAAGGCCACTCTGAATTTAAGGAGTTTGAAAGTGCACAAAAGGAGGACTGCCTAGGAAAAGGAGTGATGGTGCAATTTTTTATAGTAGATAATACATTTATATTGGATGTCTTAAATGAATATAGAAAGTAAAGCACAGAAGCTCTCACTGTAACCCTCTCTGTTACCATATCTATGGACTTTGACAGTGAAAGGTTTTGTCCCAGAACTAAAATAAGAGAAAAGTGGCCCCCCATTGGGGGCGGCGGGAGTGAGGGGGGGATTCTTCTCACTACTTCTCACTGCAACAGAAAGGGCCTTTATTTTTATTTTTTCTAAATATTTAATTAATTTATTTATTTGAGAGAGAGTGAGAACATAAG